CTGAAGAAAGCCAGATCACACAATCACAGCCTCTACATGGAAGTATTTCCTCTGGGGCAATGAAAAGGCTTCCTCCTCTGATGGTGTTGCAGAAGGCTTCATATTCTCACGAGTAGCCCGCATATTATGTTGCGAGTGGGTTAAAAGCTTTGCAACATCAATTTGCAGGCTTCTAGTCCCCTTTAAAGAGACTCCTGGTTTCTTCTGACCTAAGGTTAAAAAAAGAGCAGGAAAGGTTTTTTTCCTGTTCTTATCTTGGATTTCTGTTCTCGAGTAGAAGCAAAATTTAGCAAATGGAGCTGTTCTTAAGTTGGATTGTTCTTAAGTAGGGACGTTCTTAAGTAGAGACCCCACTGTATGTTGCGAGTGGGTTAAAAGCCTTGCAACATCAATTTACAGGCTTCTGGTCCCCTTTAAAGAGACTCCTGGTTTCTTCCTGATCTTTTGCTTTGCACTTAGAACTGGTTTGGACAAGAAAGCTCTGCTCCACGCTGGTGCATCGGTCAAATCATCCTAATATTAGTTGCACTAGGTATGCAAATAACAGTGTCAGGATCTGCATGAATGGGCTGAAAAGCGTTTGTAGCAATGTTGGTGTTTTTTAAAAAAAATTTTAGGACTATCGCCACATGTGACAGTTCAAAAAGAACCTTCACAATAGACACATATAGGAAAGGCAGGAAATGAGCTACAGAATAAACAAAAAAATAACAGAAAAGCAACATGAATTCTCAATGCTCCAGCTCCTTAGCAACGTGATGTTCCTTTACATCTTTAAAAGACGTCTTCTGCTGGGCAGACCGAGTTGAGTCAGAATACGTGGGTGAGCTCTGTCTGGATGTCTACGGCGAGAAAGCTGCAAAAAAAGTCACCCACAAGCCGAGGAAACAGGCAAATCGTCGTTCAGATTTGCCAAAACTCAAAATTGCTCTCTACATGTCCATTGAGTGGTAGACCCCATTGAGTTCAATGTGACTCCCATGGAAGTGTATACAGGACTGTCAGATACACCAGTGTCCTCTAGACGGTGTGCAACTTAAACTCCCTTTAACTCCATCACTGACCGGGGAAAGACGATGAGGAAAGACGGAAAGAGCAGGGCATGTTTAGCCTTGAGAAAAGAAGATGGAGGGAGAGAGGAGAGCCCTTTTCAGATACTTGAAAGGGAGTCATCCAGAGGAGAAGCAGGTTCTGTTCTCGATCATCCCAGAGTGCAGGACACGCAACCATGGGCTCAAGTGACAAGAAGCCAGATTTCAACTGAATGTCGGGAAAAACTTCTTAACTGTTAGAATAGTATGATGACGGAACCCATGACCTCCAGGGGGAGGTGGTGAGCGCTCCAACACTGGAGGCATTCAAGAGGCAATTGGACAATCTTCGGTCAAATCTGCTTTGGATTCCTGCACTGAGCTGGGGGTTGGACTCGATTTGCCTTGTAGGTTCCTTCCAACCCAATTATTCTCTGATTTTTCTGATGGGGGCTCTGCTCCAATGCATTCAGAGAGCCCCCAAATGACTGCAGTGGGTAAGACAGCCCAAGAGTCTCAATACTGGTTGTTGTGGGTTTTTCGAGCCCAAAAAACCCACAACAACCATTAGATGGCAGCTGCGAAAGCCTTCGCGAATACAGTCTCAATACTGCTCAGCATCAGAACAGCTGGAGAGCAGTTTAGACATATGGTTGCAGAGGTTGGGAGTTCAATCCCCCACTGGGCCTCCTTGGCAGAGACTGGACCCGATGATCCGTAGGGTCTCTTCCAGCCCTGCAATTCTAAGAGGGTGATGATTTATATTTGCGTCTCATAGATCAGCTGAGATGAGGACCACTTTTGCAGGCTGCCACCATTAGCAACTGACATTGGCAATGGCGCAGGGCGAGGCCTTTCCTCAGTGGTTACAACAGAACTCCCTCTCCAAAGATCCATAGAGAACCTACACAACAGGCATCCCAATTGTCCTGCCTTGAAAATAATTCCATTGTGTCCATTATTTGGCTTAGAGAGTGCCTTGTAACCTAAGGGAGCTCAAACCTAAACGAATCCATTAGTCTTAAAAGGGTCAAAGGCCTTTCTGTGCTCACTTCTGTTCTGCTTTCGTTATCCATTTATAAAGTAAATACATCTGTAATATGCAGTGTTGAAGTGCTGCTGCATCCACTATTTTTTTGCTTCTTTGGCTGTTTCAGCTTTATCCATCTATGTACAGTATTCACTTATTTAATAAGGAAGTTGTTCTATGCATTAAAATATTTTTAATGGTGATGTTGGTTTTATTGTATACATAACCCTAAAGACTGCCATAGGAAGAAAAGCAGGTTAAAAGCAGCCATATAAATAAATTAAATATTTACTATACAGACTCCCAGACCTGACTGTTTTATGCCACATACACTCCTTACTGTCTACACTGGGAAATGGAGCTTCCTATATCTCACTTCCTCTTTGCGGTGCTTTGTTGCAAATTCCACCTGTATTGATACGTGTATATATTCTTTGTGTTTCTCAACAGTTGGCAGCTTTTGCTCATTCTAGTAGAACTGGAGATCCTAGCAGGGGAGCCCTGTTATTGAAGACTGGGTCCCTCAAACAAGCACTTCTAACCTGTAGGTTAAAACGGCTTGTGCCCAGCACTGATTGGCTAGTGCCTATGCTTTCATCCGTACAACTCCTCCCTTCCCAATCCCCAGAACTGTTTTGCACTTCAAAATTAGAGAGGAATTTTCAGGTGCCACATCTAGGGATTTCCAACCTCATGGTTGTTGTGTTTTTTTTAAAACATTAATTTAGAAATTTACTACCGGAAACTTTTTATACAATCTTTATGTTCTTCTATTCCTCACTCATTGATCCAGTTGTCAACAAGACTGGTCTTTTTCTCCCCCCCCCACAAAACATAGATCAGAGCCTCTGTCATGTGCTAGAAGGACAGAGACAGGATTTTACTCTTCACACTTTTAAAAACCATCTCCAGTAATGTGTTCAGAAGGGTGAGATTCTGTGCCCCTCCCAAAAAAGGAAGGGACTTCCAGGTGCAGATTTTAGGCCTTTTTCAGTTCCTTTCTGCAGTCAGTTGGTTGTTTCTGTATTATTTTAGAAATGTCCTACTGTAAAAATTCCAACTAAATATACGTAAGGCAGCTCCATCGATGGATATTATATTATCTAGGAAGCTTCAATCCCTCAGAGGCAGCTGGATAATGATGGCGTTTACTTAGGCATCCTTTCTGTGCTTGGATTAGCAAAGAGTTTTGACTTCTTTCTTAAGTGATATCAAGTCTTGGGGGGGGGGAGGAAGAAACGTCCCATACAAGTACTTGAAGCAAGTGTGTGGGTGTGATTTCAGCTGTGTTTTCCTTTTTTGTTTTTTCAGATGAAAAATTGGGTTGGAATCCATCAAAGTTTATGCCAGACAAATTGTCAGTCTTTAAATTGCCACCAGCCTCTCTCCTCTCAGCTTCTGGGGCTAATTTTCTCAGGAATAAAAGTCTTCAGCCTATGTCTTGAAATGCAAAAGCATAGTCACCGAGGTGTTCCCCCCCCTTCTGTCCATATGTCCCTCCCTCCCTCCATAAGTCAACACTTTGATGCTGCTTGAACAGCGGGATCCCATGATTGTCAGAGATTAACGCGCACTCTAACCTGGTGGGGGTTTATTCTGCACAACAACACTGGCGCACATCCGCACGCACACATGCACCAACGCACAAATGCTGCCGAGGCTTGTGCAAGTTGCAGTCCCAACAAATAACTTTCCCAGGCTCAGGCTCAGAAATGGCCAGAGCCCCACAATTTATCAGAGTCATAAATTTACTCCCCCAAAACGAGAGTGCTAAACTCTTGCGTCTCTGATCCTGCAGGAAACGGCTGAGGCCACAATCCACCCAAGGGTGAACAAAAAAGAACAATTCTGCACACGTGATAGCATTTCATAATAAGGTACAATTAAAAAAACGACTTGGAATGCAGTCACTCTGATTTCCTGGAAAGGAAACACTCCTAAAGTTTTGCCAGCCCTTTCGCACATCTGCTGCGCATGCAGACCAATAAAACCAACCTTTCTTCCTGCATTCCTCTAACAAGCAAGTCAGTAAAAGACAAATTACTTTCCAATCGATGCCGTTTTGCAACAAAAACACCCCTACAGCATAAGCCAGACTGTGAAACTCTTCCTTATGTCAGCACGCCACGATTGTGCGGACTCTGGGCTTGGGGGGGGAGGAATAACACTCTGTACATGCACAAGATGACACATGTTACTTAATTCTTCCAAAGATCCACTCATGAATCGGGAACATCTGAACCAAAAAGAGGCCGATCGTGGTGATGCAAAAAAAAAAATTAAAATAATTTTAGGCATCTGGCTGAAATGAAAGCAATTTTACTTTTAGGCAGCCAACCATCCAGCAGTCTACAAGGTGACACAGAACTCTATGGCTGGTCCTGAAAAGCAGGCTGCTGAGCCGAGGGCCCTCTCCAAAAGCTTCTTTCAAGCTCAGATCTGATTTCCGCCACCTCGTCAGCATTTCAATACTTAAGGACAATGACTTCTTGAAAAAACTGATGCCGGGGCAAAAAGTCCAGGAATATACTGTATGTAGAGAGAGGATCTTGCAAAAGCTGCTGGAAAGTCGGGCGCTGGAGGCAGAGGCGCAGCTGAGAGGCAGGCGACTCTTACAAGAGGCAAATAAAACACGAAACAGGAAACCGAACATATGCGCGGAGCGGGGAAAGAATCAAAGTTTTTGCACGAAGAATTATGTTGTGCCAAGAAGCTGGCTTCATCGGACAGCCATGCAAAGCCATAAGAAAGAAAGAAAGAAAGAAAGAAAGAAAGAAAGAAAGAAAGAAAGAAAGAAAGAAAGAAAGAAAGAAAGAAAGAAGGGAAGCTTTTAATCCAAATCGAAAAGTGACATCAAGACCCTTATCAAATGAAATCCCTCGGCGCGAAAGCAATCAGTCAATCAATCAATCAATCGAGATGGCTTAAGCAGCCCGTACCTTTCGCTCGCTCGCCTTCCTTTTCTGCAGGGAAGCCACGCAGGGCTCTTTCTCAAGCCGTCCTTTGCTCCGCCGACTCCATAGCCGGGCACCTTCTTCCGCCGTCAGAGCGGAATAAAAGGCAGGGAGGGAGGGGGGGGGA